TGAACAGTCAAAAGTAGCGCTGTTGTGTTGCAGTGGCAGTGTCCTCATCCCTGAGCATGGAGGTCTGCGTTCAAGTCCCAGCTGCTCCAGAGGTATGTAACAACATCTCTGAACAGCATGATTAGAAAATCTGAAGAGACAGAGGTTGTGGTCCACATCAATACTAATAGCACAGGAAGTAAAGGGATAAGGAAGGAGGACCTGAAAGCAGAGTTTAAGAAGTATATTTAAAAGCTGGACCTCGACAGCAGTAACCTCAAGATTACTCTCAGTTCCACATGCTAGTGAGCAAAGGAACAAGTGGATTGAATACATGACTGTAGAATTAGTATATGAGGGAGGGCATAGAATTTCAGCAAGTTTTGCAAAACCAAAATATATGGAATACAGGCCATTGTATTGGCATGCATTAATGACTGGTTAACAGGCAGAAAACAGGCATCATGAGGAATAAATATATTTCCCCATTCATGAATGGCATAAAGTTAAGTGGGAACATGCTGTGAAGACAAAGCAACGTGGCTTCAACATGAGTAAGTCTGACAATGAGTGGGAATTAGTGTCGTTAACGGAATATAATGTGCAAAAATGTGAGGTTATCCAAACTGGTAGGAGGAACATATGGTCAGAGTACTTCATAAATGACAAGTGTTTAGGATATGTAGACATGCAAAGGCACCTGGGTGCCCTTGTCAATGAATCACAGGTGCAACAAGCAATTAAGTACACTAATGGTAAGTTAGCATTTACAGGAGTAGAGGAGTCTTGCTTCAACTACATAGAACTTTCACTAGACCACACCTTGGTCCCTTTAGTTTAGAAAGGGTATGGTTGCCCAAGAGGGAGTGCAAAGGTACACCAGACTTATTCACAAAATGGCAGATCTGTCATATGCAAAAGGATTGGGGAAATTAGGAAATTAGAAATTAGTGGGGGGGCAGTCTAGAAGCAAACACTGCAATTGCAAAGTATCAGGGAAAATCACTTGGGACCAAGAAGAAAATCTCTTTACTCTCAGCATGGAAACAGATGCTTCAGTCCAACCAGTCAACGCTGACCAAGTTTCCCAAATTAAACTTGTCCCATTTACCTACTTTTGGCTCATATCCCTCTATACCTTTCCTATTCATGGACCTGTCCAAATGTTTTAAATATTGTAACTGTACCTGCATCTACCACTTCCTCTGGCAGTTCCTTCCACATATGAACCACCATTGAAAACAGTGCCCCTCAGGTCCCTTTTAAATTTTTCTCCTCTCATGTTAAACATTTGCCCTCTAGTTTTGGACTCCCCTACCCTGGGAAAAAGACCTTGGCTTACCCATGCCACTCATGATTTTATAAACCTCTATAAGGTCACTCCTCAACCTTTTACGCTCCAGCAAAAAAAAAAAAAATCCCAGTTTGTCCAACCCTCCAGTCCCAGTAACACCCTTGTTAATCTTTTCTGAACCCTCTCCAATCTAATAATTTCCTTCCTGTAGAAGGCCAGAACTATGGCTCAGTGGTAAGCACTGCAGCCTCACAGTGCCAGGGAGCTGGGTTTGACTCCACCCTTGTGTGACTATCGATGTGGAATTTGCACATGCTCCCCCGTGCCCGTGTGGGTTTCCTCCAGATGTTCCGGTTTCGTCCTACAGTTCAAAGATATGCAAGTTAGGTAGATTGGCTATGCTAAATTGCCCCTTAGTGGCAAGGGATGTGTAGGTTAGATGCATTAGCCATGGGGAAATATTGGGTGGGGGATTAGTCGGTGCAGACTTATTGGGTCGAATGGCCTGCTTCCACACTGCAGGGACTCTATATATACAGTACTCCAAAAAAAAAAATGGCCTCTCTAATGTCCGGAACAACTGCAAAGGGACAGCCCAATTCCTATACTCACCGGTACGAGCAAAAGGCAAGCATGTCAAATGCCTTCTTTACCAGTCTGTTTGCAACTTCCAATGAACTACATTCCTGAATCCCTAGGTCTCTGTTCTACAACACTCCCCAGGGCCCTACTATTATCTGTACAAGTCCTATCCTTTTTCACCTTACCAAAATGCAACACCTCGCATTTATCTAAATTAAATTCTATTTGCCACTCCTTGGCCCAATTAATCAAGATCTCTTGTTAATCTTAGATCATCTTCCTCACTGTCTACTATACCACTAGAGTCATAGAGATGTACAGCACGGAAGCAGACCCTTCAGTCCAACTTGTCCATGTCAACCATTTATGCTAAACTAATCTAGTGCCACTTTCCAGCATTTGGCCCACATCCCTCCAAATCCTTCCTATTCATATACCCATCCAGATGGCTTTTAAATGTTGTAATTGCACCAGTCTGAACCACTTCCTCTGGCAGCTCATTCCATACATGCACCACCCTCTGCAAGAAAAAGTTGCCCTTTACGTCCCTTTTACATCTTTCTCCTCTCACCTTAAACCTATGCCCTCTAGTTTTGGACTATCCCACCCTGGGGAAAAGACCTTGTCTATTTACCTTATCCATGCCCCTTATGGTTTTACAAACTTCTATAAGGTCAACTCTTAGCCTCTGACACTCCAGGGAAAATAGCCCCAGCCTATTCAGCCTCCCCCTACAGCTCAAACCTGCCAACCCTGGCAATATCCTTGTAAATCCATTCTGAACCCTTCCAAGTTTCACAACATCATTCCTACAAGTGACCAGAATTGCACACAGTATTCTAATAGCAGCCTAACCAAGGTCCTGTACAGCTGTAACAGAACCTCCCAGCTCCTGTACTCAATGCACTGACTAATAAAAACAAGCATACCAAACACCACCTTCACTATCTTATCTACCTGCAACTCCGCTTTCAAGGACCTATGAACCTGCACTCTAAGGTCTCTTTGTTCAACAATACTCCCCAGGACCTTACCATTGGGGATACATGTCTTGCTCTGATTTGCTTTTCCAAAATGCAGCACCTCATATTTATCTAATTTAAACTCCGTCTGCCACTCCTCGGCCCATTGGCCCATCTGATCAAGATCCCATTCTACTCTTTGTAACCTTCTTTGCTGCCAACTACACCTCCAATCTTGGTGTCATCTGCAAACTTACTAAACTATGCTTCCTATATTGTCATCCAAAGTGTTTACATAAATGGCAAACAACAGTGGACCCAGCATCGATCCCTGCAAAACACTGCTGGTCACAGGCTTCCAGTCTCAAAAACAACTCTCCACCATCATCCTCTGTCTCCTACTGTCAAGCTCTCTCTGAATTCCATGTGCTTTAACTTAATTAAACAGTCTACCATGCAGAAACTTGTAAAAGCTTTACTAAAATCCATGCAATGTCTAACGTTCTGCACTCAAGTTTTTTGGCTACTTCCTCAAAATACTCAGCCAAGTTTGAGACATGATTTCCCATAAACAAAGCCATGCTGACTATCCTTAATCATTCCTTGCCTCTCCAAATGCATGCAAATCCTGTCTCTCAGAATCACCTCCAACAACTTACCCACCACTGACTTCAGATTCACTGGTCTATAGTTCCCAGGCTTCTCCATGCAGTTTTTCTTAAATAAAGGCACAGCATTAGCAACCTTCCAGTCTTCTGGCACTTCACCCATCACCATAAATGATACAAATATCTCTTCTAGGGGCCCCGTAATTTCTTCCCCAGCTTTCCACGATGTCCTGATGAGGTCCTAGAGATTTATCTACCTTTATGTTTTTTAAGACTTCAGCACCTCCTTTCCTGTATATTGGATTGATTTCAAGACATCAATATTTATTTCCCCAAGTTCCCTAGCTTCCATGTCTTTCTCCACTGTAAATACTGAAGCAAAATATTCATTTATTATCTCTCCAAACTCCTATGTTTCCACACAAAGATCTTTAAGGGGCAGTAGTCGCTCCCTCATTGTTCTTTTGTCCTTAACAAACTTGCACAATATCTTTCGATTATCTTTAACCTTATCTGCCAAGGCTATCTCATATCCCTTTTTTGCCTCCTGATTTCCCTCTTAAGAATGCCCTCGCATTCTTCAAGAGTGTCACTTAATCCCAGTTATCTATACATGACATATGCCTCCCCTTTATTCTTGACGAGAGCCTCAATATCTCTATTCTTCCATTGTTCCCTCCTCTTACCAGCCTTACCTTTCACTCTTACAGGAGCATAGTGCTTCTGAACTCTCGCTATCTCACATTTGAAAGCCTCCTACTTGCCAGTCATCCGTTAACTTGCCAGTCTACTCCCCAAACAACGTTTGAAAGTTAGCGTTACTCCAAGTTAAAACTAACTTTAATACAAGACATATCCTTTTCAATAACTATTTTAAAACTAACTAACCCGAAAGTGCTCCCCTACTAACATTTCAGTCACTTTCCGTCTTATTTCCCAAGAGAAGGTCCGAGGGTTATGAATCTTTGGAATTCAATATAACAGAGGGTTTGGGAGCTTAGCTGTTAAGTATTTTTAAAGTAGAGATTGACAGATTTCGAATAATGCGAAGGACATAGTGAGTGCATGGGGGATAAAAGGCATTGAAGTAGTGATCAGCCATGATCATATTGATTGGTGGAGCAGGATTAAATAGCTGAACAACCTACTCCTGTCTCAATGAATTTTAACTGAAAGTTTCCCTTCAACTGGATGATAATAAAAGTGGAAGGCACACAACTGCTGGCGACAATAGAAGAATGTAAAAATTAAAGAAACAAAACTGCATAATGCAGAACACCAAGAAAAATGCTTCTTGATAAACCCTTTCACTGCTTTCATAGATATTACATTAAAAATTTGTACATGAAAATTGGAGACATTAAAAAGGTTGTGAATCTTTACTCGATTAAATTGCTTAGTTGAATTTAAGCAAAATGGTGCTCAACTCATTGAATGTATTAATATCTCAATGGTGCAGTGTACGTAAAAATATTCACAAGAGCAAACTTGCAATAATTTTCAGTTAAATATACAAGAATATCTTAACTTTTAATTAACATTTTTAATTTTGACTAAAATTTGAACTTGCTTGCGAGTTTCTTTTACTGCAAAATTCACGAAGACAGTAGGCAAAAGAAATTTTATTCAGTTGAGTGGATACAAATTGGCAGAAACAAATCTTTGTACCGTAAACTTCATTTGTATTTTTCAAACTTGCTCCTCTAAGTAGAAGATTTTCTGGTCCCAGAGGTCTGAAAACAGATGACACAAAAACGTCACATTTCTTTTCAGCAACATTTCTATCTAAATCTACAGTCTGTCAACAAGGCTACAAATTCGGTAGTTTTTACTTGTTCAAAAATCTTAAACATTTGACATTGTAGTACTAAAGCAAGTAATTTCTGGTGTTCCAATGGAAGCAGTTCTGAAAGACAACCTGGTTCCCTTATTGCAAATACACCTGGTTTCTACCAGAAAGGCACAATTAACAAAAGGCAAACATGTTCTGAAGTTGCAACTTTGGTAGTCTGGCTAGGATATTTGGCAATAGTTGGGAAAATTCCTTGCAGTTCAGGAACTCAATCACTAACAACATTGTGAGCCTACCTACAACAAATGGGATGCAATGGTTCAAGAAGGCAACTCACCACCATCTCAATAGCAATTAGAGATGGGCAATAGACACTGGTCCAGGCAGTGACACCCACATCCCATGAATTAATATAAAGGAGAAATCCACATTCTCATCTGTATAAGGAGATAACCACACTCAAACGTAGATAGTCCACATGCTATTGGAAGGTAAATAAGAACAACTTCTGCTAGCAGCATGTAGGTTAGCTGTGACTTTTTTCCCTATTTACTTTGCTCTTTTCATTCAGTCAATTTTGTATCCACACTGTGACTGTCCATTTAAAAAATAAGCTATAGCTTTTCTCATAAAGCTGTTGTGTGGTACTAAATCTAATGCCTTTTCAGAAACACTCGCTAGTAAAACCCTCAACCCATTCTCATTGCAGTCAATCCTGCAGCTTCGGTCCTCATTTTCACTACCCTCAATCCCATACCTCCAAATCTAAATGCGATAAACTTCAGCATAGTGTGCATTATGCATTGTTGGCCATCACAATGTGCTGTAAAACCTCAACCACTGCTGTAGGTTGTGAGGTGTAAGAAATTTTCGAATGCACAAACACTGAAGTAAACAGAAGACTAAATGCTGAACAGATGGGACAGCAAAGATAACCCCTCAGCATTTGTTTTTCCACTACCAGTCACCTTCAAACACTTCACCTTCCCATATTTCTGTAACATCCTTAAAATTTACATTCATGACCTAGACTCAAGTTTCTGAAATTCAGGACTCCTGCATTTCCATCCCCACTCCTTCACCTTATCATTGACCAGCATGCCTCAGTCATCCAAGCATATTCTTCAATTCCATTCTTAAGCCCTCTGCCCCTCAACCAAATTTGCTCTTCCACCTCTCTGGTTCAGTACCCCTTCTTTATCTGATTATGACTGTTAAAGGACTTGGATGACAGAAGGAGGCCGTTGTGTCTGCTCTTTGAAAGGGTAATTCAATTAGTCCCACTTCCCAGCATTTTTCTCAACAGACTTGCTTTCCAAAAAATTATTCCATTCATTTATGAAAGTTGCTATTGGAGTAGCTTCCACTATCCTTTCAGGGAGCTTTGCTCCATTTAAGATCTTTATAAATGCCCAAGTTATTATTGATGTTCATAGACGTGTACTTTCCAACTGCAGCTATTTTATAGGAACGATGAGCATGAAATGAAAAAAGGTGGCATATGTAAGATTTACAAAACTGAAGACACAAAGCCCTCAAAGAATACAAAGATAGCAGGAAAGAGCTCGAACAAGGAATTTGGAAGGGTAAATGGGGTCATGAAATGTCCTTGGCAAACTGGATTAAGGAAAATCCCAAGGAATTTTATACATATGTAAGGAGCAAAAGGGTAGCTAGTGAAAGGGCAGGTCCACTCAAGAACAAAAGGACAGAATTTATGCGTGCAGGCAGATAAAGTATTTGATGATGTCTTTAACTAATACTTTGCATTGGTATTCACAAAGGAGAAGGACATGGTAAATAGTCAGTCTTGGGAAAAGTATGTTGATATTCTGGGGAATATCAATATAGTAAAAAAGATTAGGTGTTGGGTATTTTGAAAAGCATTAAGGTAGACAAGTCCCAGGACCTGACGGGATCTATCCTGGAATGCTGAGGGAGGCAGATGAGGAAATTGCTAGGGCCTTGAATGAAATCTTTGCATCCTCTTTAGTCACAACAGAGGTCCCAGAGGACTGGTGAATAGCCATCGTTGCTCCTTTGGTTGACAAGGGCAACAAGAATAGTTGGGAAATTATAGAACAGTCCCTTATGCCAACAGTACGGAAATTATTGGAGATAATTCTTAGGGATAGGATTTACTCATTTGGACAAATATGGATTCATTTGTGATAGGAAGCATGGCTTTGTGCAGGGAAGGTCGTGTCTCACAAACTTGATTGAGTTTTTTTGAGGAAATGACAAAGATGATTGATGATGACAAGTGGTATATATCTATATGGACTTTAGCATGGCCTTTGACAAGGCTGAGACAAAAGGTGAAGTCACATCAGATTCACAGTGTGTTGCCAAGATGGATACATAACTGACTTAGTCATAGAAGACAGAGTAGCAATGGAAGGGTGTTTTTTCTGACTGGAGATCTGTGACTAGGGATGTCCCACAAGGATCACTTTTGAGACGCCCACTGTTTGCTTTATATATGATTTGGAGTAGAACATATGTGACCTGATTGTATGTTTGCAGATAACACAAAGTTTAGGGGAGCTGCAGAGAGCGAGGCGAATTGCCAGAGGGATGCAGCAAGACACAGATGGCGACTTGAGTGGAGAAATACCAGAGTTTAATCTGGATAAATGAGAGGTGATGCATTTTGGGAGATCTAATGCAGAAGGGAAGTATACAGTAAATGGCAAAATGCTCAGTACCATCAACATATGGAGGGATCTAGGCATACAGGTCAACAGATCCCTGAAAGTGGTAACACAAATGAATAAGCTGGTCAAGGCAGCATATAGCATGCTTGCCCTCAGTCAGGGCATAGAGTATAAAAATTGGCAAGTCATGTTGCAGCTGCATATAACTTTAGTTAGGCCACATTTGGAATATTGTTTACAGTTCAGGTCACAACATTAAAACGATGTAGAGGCTTTGGAGAGAAACGGTTTACCAGGATGTTGCCCGGTTTGGACAGCATTAGCTATGAGAAGAGACTGGACAAACTTGGCTTGTCTTCACTTGAATGCTGAAGGATAAGGAGTGACCTGATAGAAGTTTACAAAATTACGAGAGACCTGGATAGAATGGATAGTCAGTCTTCCCCCCCTCAAAGGGTAGAAATGTCAATAACCAGGAGATATAGGTATAAGGTTAAAAAAAAGGGCTAAGTTTTTTTTATACGTATACACAGAGTGGCAAGTGCCCGGAATGCATGCCACAAGTGGTAGTGGAGGTGGATTCAAGGCCCCAACAATTTCCTCACCTGCCTCCCTCAGCATTCTGGGATAGATCCCATCAGGTCAGGAGACTTGTCTACCTTCATGCTTTTCAAAACACCCAACACCACCACTTCTTTTATATTCACATCCCCTGGATATCAATATACCCCTCCCAAGACTCACCACCCACCATGTCCTCCTCCTTTCTGAATGCCAATCTAAAATTATTCATTAAAGACCTCATCCACTTCCTCCGGCTCCAGGCATAAATTCCCTCCTTTGTCATTTGAGTGGATCTATTCTTTCCCTAGCTATTCTCTTTCTCCTTCTCCTTACATATGTATATAATGCCTTGGAATTTTCCTTAATCATGTTTGCCAAAGACATTTAACGGCCACTTTTAGCCCATCTAATTCCTTGTTTTGAATTCTTTCCTGCTTTCTGCATTTTCTGGGGGCTCTTTCTGTCTTCAGTTTCCTAAACCTTATGTATGCCTCCTTTTGCTTTTTGACTAAGGTCTCAATTCTCTATTTTCACAGGAAAATGCTAGCCTTGAACCCTAATCAACTGGCCTTTAAAAAGATTCCAACATGTCAGATGTAGATTTACCCTCGAACAGCTGCCCCTAGTTGACGTCCCCAGCTCCTCCCTAACATTGTGGTAATTAGCCTTCTTCCAATTCAGCACTTACTTTTATCTTTATGGACAAAGAACTTACAACTTATAGAATTATGGTCACCATTCCCAAAATGAGCTGCTTATTCTTAAACTATGTACAGGTATAAACATGGTTACAAATTAAGACCACATGTTAAAATGGCTTTCATCCTGGAAAACTATAACTGGTATTTGGCTTCCTCCAGTGTCAAAATGAGGCCAAACATATACTGTAAGAACAACTGGAGCTTACACTCAACGGCCTGAATGTTGACTTCTCCAGCTTCAAAATCCCTCCATCCCCAGCCTTATCTCATCTCCCACCCCTCTGACCTGTCCATCTTCCAACTCACCTACCCGCTCCACCCTTTCCACTGACTAATCACTGTAATCCCTTATCTGCATCCACCTATCACTATCCTACCTACCCTTCCCCTGTCCACCCAAATCCCTCTATTTATTTCTGGGCTTCCCTCCCCTCCCCTCCCCGTCCCCAGTCCTGACGAAGTGTTTCAGCCTGAAACGCTGACTTTCCTGCTCCTCTGATGCTGCCTGACCTGCTGTGTTTGTCCAGCTCCATGTTTATTGACTCTGGCTTCCAGCATCTGCAGTCCTTACTGTTTATTGGTATTTTATAACTGGCTCTCCTCAAAAATTGTGAATAATTTATATAAATATTTTTAATTATGACAGGAATTCTTTATAATTTTATAGCAAAACAGGTAGTGCAAGTTCTCATACCTCACTATGTTGTTTGAATTTTGTTGGATTCTAATTTGGCCAACAAACCTGTAAAGAAAGTTATGAAATATTGAAACAGAGCAAATACAAAGAAAATAAAGCTTAAACTTGCTACAGAATAGGTTCACACAGACCATGTCGTACAATCATTTTCTTTCAGCTCACCTATACAGGTCTGGTTCTGGCTGATGGCAGGTTATGACAGCCCTCAATGTGTCTAGTTGAGGAACAGTGCGCAACTTAGCTATTTCAGGAACTGCATGATGTGTCTAAAAGAGAGCATAACAAGGATTAAAATAAAAGTGTAAAGTCTACCATTCAATAAACTGCATGAAGTTCTAAAAGTCTAGGATTTTTTTTATCATTTCAAGTCCCATTGAATGACATTTTAAAATGACCATTCATTTGCCCATCTGCATTTAACATGTCATTTGTAGAAATAACCATTTTTTGAGAATGGAAAGATGATTATTGATGAGTAAGGCTGTTCAACCATTTAAATTCACCTATCCAGTGAGACGAGAGAGTTGCTGGTTTCAGAAGTCAATTACTTCTCAAAGGAAAGTTCAGCTTCCATTTATTTTGATTATAATTGGGTAATATTTCCTAACCATTATGTAGATAGTCCTCGATTAACATGGCAGTTACAATCCTAAAATCACTGTATTAAGTGAAACCACATTATTCAAAACACACATCCCCATTCAAAGTCAAGTAAATCTTCAGGAACGCTCCCAAATGTCAAGTACAGAATACAATCACAACGTTAACAAAGCACCAAAATAGACATGAAAGTGTACAAAAAGAATTTCATTTAATGTTTCTTATCTCATATACAAGATTGTCAATATGTAGGTGGAAAGCTGTAGATAGGTTTTAAAAGATTTTCCATCCTTAATTGAGGCAGGAAACAGCCAAAGGTAAAAAAATAGGAATGTATATAAGAATGCTGCGTTTTGGTGCACATTTTATTTCTCTGCAATGCTGGGAGTTGGGCAAGAACCTCATTGTGTGAATTAGATGCAATTTGTTGGAGTCATGGGTGGCAAAATTAAAGGCTATGTTATTATGAAATTGCATTAATCTAAGACAATCAAGAACAACACTTCTTCCTACCATTTCAGTACCTGAAGAATGATTCACCTACAACACTCACCAAATACATTGCAACGGAATACTAAGATGTTACCACCTCCTGTCCCATCACTGGGATAATTATTCAAATTCCTTCCTCAAAACTGGAGTCCACGTAAACAGGGTAGTGAAACCTTTATTGGTCAGTGCATTGAGTATAGGAGTTGGGAGGTCCTGTTGTGGCTGTACAAGACATTGGGTAGGCCATTTTGGAAATCTACATTCAATTGTGATCTCCCTGCTACACAAAAGGTGTTGTTAAACTTGAAAGGATGCAGAAAAGATTTACAAGGATTTTGGAGGGTTTGAGTTATAGACAGAGACTGAATAGGCCGGAGCTATTTTCCCTGGAGCGTCGGAGATTGAGGGGTGACGTTATAGAGGTCTGTAAAATCGTACCCGAGATCTTTATCCAGGCTAGGGGAGTCCAAAATTAAAATGGCATAGCTTCATGGCGAGGGGAAAATTTTTAAAAAAGAAAAAAGGACCTAAGGAGCAACTTTATCACACAGAGGGTGGTGCACGTATGAATGTGCTGCCAGAGGTGGTGACGGAGGCTGGTACAATTACAACATGTAAAAGGCATCTGGATGGGTTTATGATAGGAAGGGTTTAAGAGGGATATGGTCCACATGCTGACAAATGGCACTAAATTAGTTTAGGATTATCTGGTCAGCATGGACAAGTTGGACCAAAGGGTCTGTTTCCGTGCTGTACACCTCTGACTCTATGACATATTGGCGCTATTTCTCCTCTAAGTCAAATATTTCACCCTTTTATACAATCCATCTCCAATGATTGTCATTAATATTTAAACCCTTACTTCCCATGTAAGTTATCACAAGTTTTCAACAACCATTTCCATTATTGAGCTCTCCAGGTTCTTGAAAATCTCATTCCTGAACAAGTTGTAGAGTCCCTGTACAGACATTTCTCATACAATGAAAGTTCCATAATAAATGAATTGATACCTGAACGCTGTACAAGGATAATGTCAGTTAACTCAAGCTACTAACATGCCCCCTACATCCTACCAACATAACATCCATTTCTGCACAAATGACATTTGTCACTGCTCTCATTCACCACAAAAAAAAACAGTAATGGTTGGTGGTGTTGTTGCAGCTGTAACAACTTAGTCACCATTGCTGGCCTGAAGAAACCTCAGTTCTGTTTTAGTGTCCTAAGTGTTTCTGCAAGTCAACACAGTAAGTGGAAGGGCACGTGTCCTTTTTCCAACCAGATTAGAAAACTAAAGCCAATAAACTTGACTATGATTGTGCAAGTTTTTGCTGATAACACATCGACAATGCAGTGTACAGTTTTGATTTCAATATCCAAGGAAGGATATACTTGCATAGGAGGCATTACACCAAAGGTTCACTGGATTGCATTCTGGAACAGAAGCACAAGTTAATTGCGCATTTCATTGGAATTTAGAAGAATCAAAAGGTGATTCCATCCTATCATGAGAGTGTTTTTTTTTTAAAACGTCATGTCAATTTGATTTCTGTAGAAGCCAGCAATCTGTTTGTAACATACAGGGAAAAGCGTTCCAAGGAATTGCTGTACTTTACAGCTTTAAAACATTAGCCATGTTTAATAATGGGAAGGAGGGTTTGGCTTGTTGCAAGGTTTTCAACAGGTCACCCAAAATACTTCAGCAGTTAATGAACACACTCCATTTAGTTAGTTGGATGGAGGCAGTCAAAGAAATTTGCTATCTTTGACTGTGAGTCAGTCAACTGCTTGGAGTAGAGAAAAAAGGTTGCCTGCTATACAAGGTGCTGATGTACAAGGCTCTGAGCCAACAGGACTTGGGAGACCGTGAGCAAAGAGGCAACGATGTGTGTTGGTCTCAGGAAAAGCCTTGGGAGCTTGAGCTAGGCAGAAAGGAGGCTTCATTAAAGACACAATCATCTCCACGCAGTGCTTTCATTAAGGACACAATGTCGATGCAATCAACCACAGTTCATAGCCAGCAAGGGAACAATTACAAGTGATGTGAAGGAGTCATGAGAGCTGATCCACTGACAGAGTTCACAGGGTCAGCTGTGGGAAAGGGGAGTTGGACAGGATGGAGATGAGCAAGAGGAGCACCCAGCAAGGACAACTAGATTGTGGGATGTAGCTTGTAGGGTTGCTGCCCACAATGAGTCACCAAATGCCTCCATGAGGCCAATAGAGAAGGATGAAGAGGGGCAGAGAGTGAAGCTGTGGATTTGAACAAAGCTATCAAGCCTGAGACAGCAGCGAGTGCACAGGAAGGCTGAGTCGTCCTGAAAGGTTGAGGTAGGTAAATGAAGGGCAGGTGTGGAGGTGAAAGGAAGCATGATAATAGTACAACAATCTAGGAGAGGTAAAAAGAAAAGTAGCTAAACGGAACAAAATGGAAGAATAAAGATAGGCTTGAATCTGGAGCAGTAACCAAATTATGCACACAACCATGAGTGGCAGTAGACCTGGTTGCATAAAGATTAGAATGCATAAAC